CATGGCAGGCAGAGGCAGGCATAGTGCTGGCCGGCCGGAGAGGAGAAACCAGCCAGCGGGGCCATGGAATGAACAGCCAGATTCCTCACCATCATTCTGTCGGAGCCGAGCCTGCTGCCCGCCGGCCGGCCGGTACCTACGTTGCTAGTGTGGGTGGGTGGGTGCGTGCGGCCCCACCTTCCATCCATTGTCTAGGTAGGAGTAGAGTACGTAGCTGGTCATCTTCTTCTCATCTCGATCGCCCCGACCCCGAGGCCGCGCCGTGCGAGCTCCATCTTCGCGGCGGGCCAGCCGCTGTCATGTCCGTACTCCTACCTGTCTACGACGCGCGCGCGGCCCCGGACCGGACGGATGCATACGCCTTTGCCTACCCGCGTCACCTTCTTCCTCGATAATATCGCAAATATAGCACACGTAAATATCCGGCCGTACAAGTACTCCACTCACTTCTCATGTATCAATGTTGTATTCGTTGCTCGTCGAAGGAGAAGGTGGAGTGCCCTGACTCGTTGGAGGAGAAGGCGTTCAGTTTGAAAACTTGATGTACTCCTTCCTCTATAGACATGTACTGCGCAAAGCATAAACTAACTAATTCTCCCTCTCACCTGAAGGATGGTCAAGTTCTAGCTCCTTAAATTCCTCCATTATTTCATCCACCGTCACAACAGCATAACCATGTGGAATCGGATGACAGTGAAAAGTTTCGTTAGCTAAAGAAGGTGCAACAGAGCCGACAGCCGCCTTCAAAGTCAGGTTCTGCCATTTCGTCGTAAGCTTGCAATGTCGAGCCTCCGTGATAGTATCCACGGGGTAGCGAGGAGCCATGAAATCAGGCTAAACGAGCTCCGTGGAAGCCACGCTGCTTCTCCACTGAGATGGTGGGTCCAAAATTCTCCCAACCCCGAAAAACCAAGTCCTTGAACGGTACGCCCAGTTCAATGTCGCTGGTTGGATCCCTTTAGCAAGCAGATCTTTCTCAGCTTTGTCCCACAACGGCCGGGCTTTGTAGTAGCCACCTGACCCCGTGTGATGGTGATACTTCTTCTTTGCAGCATTTTTCTTATTTGTCTCTGACCTTTGCTTACCCTTCTCTGATGTCTTGTAGGCCAGAAATGCGGGCTAGTGATATCTTATCTTCTCATATCGGCCCTTAAATTTTGGAGTCTTCCCTTGCTCGATAAATTTTGTGTTCAACTCTTTCTTTCAGTTCCTGAATAGATCTGATACCGGCAATTCCTTAGCCTGATGTATCTTATTTTCCTAGCCGTCAATTCTTTAGCATGGTGATATAAAATAACCCTAAACAGTTTGTGCATATAACTTGTTTCAAATGATAAAAATGGTTCCAAGTATACAAATTCACAAAACAAGCAAAGATAACACCAGTTCGTCATTTGCTCCGGCCGCTTGAGCTAATGATGCACGCATGTCGACCACCGCACTAATTTGCTTGGCTACTTAAGTGCGATGCATATGCTCATTAACTTTGTGTCCACTTACTACTAGCTAAGCATGCACTTTAATTACCAACTTGTGAAGTGAAGTCCACGACTTTCATGCACTCACCGCAGTTAATCTTAATTATAGAGCGGGAGAATTAAGCGTGCATGCATGTTGCCTCTAAACGATCAAGCATGCATGCATGCATGCATGGCATGATGGGAGCACAATAATCAGTTGCAATTAAGTGGAGGAAGCGTCCGGACATTAGCTAGAGATATGATCTCTACTAGAGCGCACGCACGCACGCACGATGAATATATGTGGAGTGGAAGGCCGGCTCTTTTTTGCATGCCAATGATGGATGTAGGGATGCTGTAGAGAGTGCGTGCATGCCGTCATGCATCGCCAAACTACCTACATGTGTACTCATCCATGTTCCCTGCTGGCCTGATCATGCAGGCCGTGTAAAAATGATTGTCCCTTTTTTTCAGATTGGACCCAGCTAGCTAGAGAACAACACAGTGTTTTCTTCAAAGAATGAACACCAATAAGTTAACCACAACATTTAGAGCGAAAGTTCCCGGAAAAAAAATTTAGAGTGAAAGTCACATGAAAAGACTTGAAAAGTTTAACTTAACCACCAGCTCTAGGGTAACCGACCAAGGGAATGTATCCGGTGCACCCACGCTTGTGGTGCTATCGGTGCACCAGATGCCATAGAATGTTTCAAAATATCTGAAAAAAATCTAGCACGGTAATGCAACATCAATGTATGATGTCACAAAATTTCGTGTAAAAATCTGAAATATTTTTTGATATACAAAAATGACAAAATTGACATAATTAAGTGTGTTAATGGGCCAAATCTAAACCCAAGTTATGTTATGTACTATTCAGTGTTGAATTTGTCATTTTTGTTTTTCAAGTTATGTTTCGAATTTGGATTTGAAATTTTGTGACAACCTACATTAATGTTGTGTGGGTGTGCTAATTTTTTTCAGAATTTTTGAACATTTTAAAAGCATAATGTAAGTTCGGTGCACCGGTAGCACCACAAGCTCCAGTGCACCAGATATTTTCCCAACCGATCAATTACGGCTTAAAAACCATGTCATGTTCTTCTTATTTACACTGTAAAAACTTAAGCATGAAAGTAGGAAAAATATGGACGAGCAAACACCGAAATAGGTAAAGCCTATTTGGACAAATGGGATTATTCTAGTTCACCACAATACTAGCGTAGATGAAGCGTTAAGACTTACCCCGCTGGTCTCTACATCGGTATATGACCCTTCATTCACCTATTATCCTGGAGACTGACCGTGTGTTTATGGTGTCCTTCCTAGCAAATGAAAATCTTGACACCGGTCGTTAATCTAACAAGGGATGCGCTCAGCATCTCGAAATTGCTGTAGAGGGTCAAGTTCATTAAGGTAAATAGCCATGCCAACTTTTTTCCGAAATGGAGGCAGAAATTTTGCCTCGTCGATTAATTAAGCAGAAGAGAATTGCATAGTTAATTAACGGGAAAACCGGGCAAAAATCGAGTAGCCATGCAACGGGGTGGCCCATGAGATTGCTAAGTTTAGTTTTCTTCATAAAACATATGACATTTTGCTTAATAGTTTTCTACCTCATGTGGGGCCTGCTGTAATGGATGGTTATAAGAACGTTTCAGTTAATTAACATATGATCCTCAAAAAAAAAGAGTTAATTAACATATTGGGACGTTTTTCTTTAAATCATCGCAATATTAGCCGCGGCTCATTTGTTATGTTTTTCTTTATATTTCCTAGAATGCAGGTTACATTTTTGTAAGCCGGTTGATCTCCTTCTAGCAGTTCAACTTATCCTTAATATTGTTGTTGCCTTTCTTATCCTCTACTCTTACCACCAGAAGCCCACACCTTCTCCATGTCCCGCCACTCCCTTGTCATTGCAGTCTCGCTTGCTTGTCGTCCAACGGATCGTCTTCCTCTTCCTCCTAGGCAACAGGCCGGCAGCAATGCTTAACCGGCACCCCCTCACCCAATCCCTACATGATTGTGAGGCGATCGTCTTCTTCATCGCGAGCATCCCCAACCCCACCTAACCCTAATCTTTCTCTATGTACCATACGCTTTGCTCTTCGTCGTCGTTGCCACTGTCGCCGTGTCGCTGATGAGCTACACCTGGCATCTCCCTAGCGCGGATTTGTCGCCGCCACCGCCGCACCACCTGCGAGCTCCGGCTGTCACATCTAGAGGGGTTGAGGGAGGTGGGGCGTATGTGTGTGGGGTGGTAAATTAGAAAGGATTGCCATTTTGCTTAAACATGTGTGCACCCAAGACGTTTCTGAACTGTTGGTTAAAACTCTTGATTATGGACGGCGCGCGACTCGATCATGTTATATTGTACTAGTACGTTTGAGAGGCGATGGTGTAGAGTTTCAACATTTGTGCACTCAACAGTAGTACATTACGCACATGTGGTATGCACATTTGGGTCAGCTGCTTCCCCCATGGAACCGATCGGTCGACAGTCCTTGTGTACGGTGCGACGGTGTCCAGTAACAGAGTCGACAGCACCGTGCTGTAGATGGACGTACGGTACGGCACGGCGCAGCGGAAGGAAGGAGACATGGATGTAGTGGCGCCAAATTAAAGGGCCTGCGTACGTACACCACTGCAACGGCGGCACATAGATACAGCTAGCGGCCGACCAGCAGAGAGAGCAAAGCAGCCACCCGTAGCAGACGAAAGAGATTACATGCATGTCATGCGTGGGCTCGTCATCGTACTCGTACCACCCAAAACCTCGACCATGGAGGCCGTTGTTCCATCTCTGCATGCAGGCATGCAGCACGCGCGATCGTGGAATGGATCGATGCGGATAGCAGATAGCATGATGGGAGCACGCGGAGCGATCGATGAATCGATAAGGAAATAAAGAGAAAGCGAGGGATGATTCATGAGCAAGGCTGCGCCGTCGCGTCGATGGCACCAAAGCATGAAAAAGTAGAGTGGTGTATGCTGGAGTATGTATCAGGCCATCACAGCACAGGCAGCAGCAATAGCAGAAGCAAGCAGCTGGCTGGCTATTCGATCCTAGTACACCTAGTAGAGTAGAGTATTGTTGTTTTTTAACCGCGAGGTAACAGTCTCTGGCCTGGCCACCAGCACTATTAATTAAAGTAGACACCGGTAGCTTAGCCGCGTCTACTGCATTGCGCATTGCTCAGCTCCCTCAGTGGACGCTCAAAGCCTCAAAGCAGACAGAGATAGAGAGAGAGAGAGAGCAGAGTTCGCAGAGCACGCACGCCATCCTTGTATCCTTTCCTTGCTATTGCTAGAGTATATATAAAGTGCAACACTGCCCACAGCTCCATCTACTCAAGCTACAAGCGGATCCATCCATCCCAGTCCCGGTGAGGGAGCACATATATAGCCGGCCAGCTGCGCCTGCGCTGCAGAGTGCAGAGTCGAGTGGGGTGTGGGGGTAGTATTCGAAAGCAAGAAGAGGAGAGGCTGAACCAGCCGGTGGAAGGGAAGGGAGTCGAAGAGAGGGAGGGGGAGAAGATGCTGGCCTGCATCGCGTGCGTCAACAAGGAAGAAGGCGGCGGCCGGGAGAGGGAGCGGGACGGCGCCGGCGGCGACAGAGACGGAGACACGCCGACATGCAGGGACCCCGTCAAGTCGCTCACCTCCCAGGTACGTCCGTCCGTCCGTGCATGCGGTGAGTTGTCGGTTTTGCTTGCACCAGCAGCGCCATGCCGATGCATCTAGGCATCTACTCCCTCCCTCCGTCCGTCCGAGAATACTTGTCCTCGAAATGAATAAAATGGATGTATCTATAACTAAAATAAGTCTAGACACATCCATTTCTAGGACAAGTATTTTGGGACGGAGGGATTAGTAGCCAGGCATGTACGTAGATCCTCCTTAATCTGCCGGTAAGATGCATGCATCTTGGTGCAAGTTGGTTGATTTCTTCAAAGGCGCATGCGCGCGCACGGAGCTCTCTCTGCCTTGCTGTGAGCTGTTGTTGGATCCTTGCACTGCCTGTCGTCCCTAACTTGTTCAAGTAGTACGTACGTAAGCGCAGCAGCGACCGAGCTTCTCGATGGATCTCAACACCCACGGCCATGGCCCATGGGAGGTGCAACCACTTGTTTGTTATTAGTACTATTTCTGTATGTAATGGTTTTTGAATTTGGGACGTACGGTGTCTGTCCACTCCTCCCAAGCCAACATGCATGACAAGTATAGTAGTAGGAGTAAACATGTAGCTTTAGTTTTTGTTGTTAAAGTTGATAGCCACGGTTGAGGATGATGATGATGTTGGTCTCTAGTGGTGGTGCGGCGGTAGTGATTAGCTGCTATGCGCGCGTGGCGTCGCTTTCCTTTCCTTTGGTTTGGCATATCATATCATATCATATGCAGAGACAGACAGACATCCAGCAGGGACATGTCGTCGTCCTACCCCCACCCCCATCCCTAGCTACCCGGCCGGCCGGTCTGTGCTTTCCGACCGTCTTGTCGTCGCGGCCCCCGATGCGGGGAGCAAGCAAGCAGGCTATTCTATGCTAGCATGAGAGCTATAGCCATGAGGGGACCCCCCACCTTGCTTGCATAGTGATGATCCAGAGGGAGGGAGGGAGGGAGAGACCGAATGAATCATCTTCTTCTCCCCTCTTGCCTCTGTGAGACTGTGCGTGTAGGCGGCGATCCCGATGCACGCACATGTCCATGTCCGATCCATCCATCCATCTGCGCAGCTACACGGCTACACGGCCGGCCGTGGGCTCCATATGGACCATGCTTCTCCCTGTCTACAGTACTAGTACATGCATGCATGCATGCTGCTACGGCTACTGCTGCGTTGCGTTGCGTTGTGTTGCGTGCACCAGGACGACCGACCGACCGGTGCATCAACAACCTCTCGCTCCACACGGCACTGCTGCTGCGCATTACAGTTACAGTTACATATGGACACAGCTGGGTGGGGTGGGGTGGGTGCAGCCTCTCTCAAGGTAGAGCTACAATCCATCCTATCATATCCTGCAGGTGCTGCTGGGTTGGTTTTTCCTGTGTTTTGCTTTGTTCAAACCTTGTAGTATTAGTATACTATTCCCTCCACCTCATAATATAAGAGTGTCAAAAACGCTCTTATTATAGTATTATAGTAGGACCGAGGGAGCACATACATTCTCCATTCTCTCTTTAGCTTGTACGTAAGCGTTACGTGCCTTTAATCGGATCGCTGCTCATCCAGGGCTTTAATCGCCACTCATCAGCGAGCGCCAAAAAAGAAAAGAAAAAAGAAGAAAGAAGAAACGCTTCCATCCATCCGACGATCAGAATACCACGAGGGGATGGGAGGGAGATGTCTTTTCTCTTTTTCCTTTGGGCAAAGTGCAAGCATATATGCCATGGCCATGCATGGCATACGCCAACGCCAATGCCAAGCACAGCAGAGCAGCGCACTGCATGCCAAAGTTTCTGCCACCCTCAGCCTCTTTATTCTCCTTCTCTTTTTGTTAACATATGACCACTATAGTACACTAGTAACACACACACACACACACACACACACAGAGACGAATATCTCTGCCTCTACAATTCAAAGCCAACATGCATGCATACTTTTCCTTTTCTCACCGGCCAAAGTCCAGCTAATTTCAACTTCCAAGCATCTACTTCATTCTTCAACATTGCTGCCGGCCGGCCAAACCTTCAGTCCACACATGTAGTGCTAGTGTACAACATTGACCTGCTTGACACTCACCACTTATCTCTTGTCAACAGTCCACACATTGGATTGTTGCCTTCTTCTTCTGAATCCTTGCTCTTTAAGCCAGCCCAGGTGATGCCCAGGATACTGCTTAATTAACAATGCCTTCTTCTTCTGAATCCCTGCTCTTTAATTAAGCCAGCCCAGGTGATGCCCAGGATACTGCTTAATTAACAACTTCCTCTTTAAGCTAACTCTCTCTCTCTCTCTCTCTCTCTCTCTCTCTCTCTACTGAACCGCACCAACATGTTCGGAAAAGAATTCAAAACTAGACCACACAACAAGTTAATCAAAGATGGCCTGGTCAAAATCAGGGGGCAGACAGATAGAGACAGTGTAGGCCATGGCATCATGCCTGCACTGCTGCTGCAACCATGCATGCATACATATTTCGTTTAGATACAACCACCGTTCACTTTGTGTCGTCTCCTTGTGGAGGGTTTCCTGGAACAAAGCAAAAGGAACATACAAAATTCATCCATTCCATTCCATACTATATATGCTTCTTTCAAAAATATGTGTTCAGATGCAACAAAGTGTTCATTCCCCTCTTCTTTTGTGTGGCAAAGAAGCTTTGATCCCCTTCAAACCTTCTTGCTCACAACACACATCAATTTTTTTATGTTCTTTTTGGACCCCAAAAAAAGTTCGTGTAGATGTCCCATCCCCATATGAGATGTAAGGATATATCGATGTGGAAGGACGTATGGTTTCATATATAAATGTGCGCGGAGGGATTCCTGCAACAAAGCACAAGCGTAAAGCAAATACCACAAATGATCAACCATGCATTTATCTATTCATACATGTCTTCAGATGCTTCTTTCTAAAAGATAAATGTGTTCGATCAAAGAGTGCCCATGGACTATTCCTCCCCCTCTCCTTTTGTCACAAAGAAGCTTTGATCAACTTCAAAACTTGCTCCCATATCAGGCTCCTCCTTTGTTCTTTCCTTTTCTTTTTCTTTCAATCTCTTCTCTTTTTGAACGGGAAAAAAAAAGTGCATGTAGATGACTCATCCCCATACAAGATAGTACTACATGGTTGGGTAGATTGATGTACAAGGATGCATGCTTTCTCAAAAGGAGAGAATGTGAAAGAGATCCCCTGGCCTGGCCTGGATGGATGGATGGACAGATAGACAGGGATGTGCCAAGCATATTGCTGCTGTACTGTAAGTCTGTAACCTCCAGCAGCAAGGCAAGAATCCAATCCCCAGCTCTGTGCTGTGCTGTGCTGTGTGGGGATCTTCAATTTTTAAATTCTAGCTTTTGCCTGATAAAAGAGGTCAGGGAGAGAGGTGCATCAAAAGATGGGTGCTAGTGCTACCATGAAAGGGGGTAAATCTGACTGTAGATGAAACATACAGGAGACTGGAAAAACACCATGGGCAGAGCCACAGAGGTATATATCTATAGTGGTATGTGTGTGGTTAAAGAGAACAAAAAGAAAAGCAAATGGGTCAGAGAATCCATCCTTGTTTGCTTGCTTGCCTGCCTGCTTCAACTGGCCCTGTCTAAGCTTGCTAGCTGCAGAGAGCAACATTGTACTAGTGCAGTGACCATGTAGCAGTTTACTTAGTTATCTTGCTTGGAGTAAGAATTTACCACATACTGTCATGAATTGTAAGTAGAAACTAAGTGTAAAACAGCTACCCAGCACTATGTTTCTTCTGTGTGAGTGAAAGCAACAAACATGTCATTGTGCGGTCTGAACTGAATAAAGAGAGTTTACCAGTGGAGGTCAAAGCAGAGGAGTGAAACATAACCTTTGAACATGTCATTCCTCTGACCCCTAAAGTCGCACCAGGAGCCGGCATCATCTGGCATTCACATTTGGCCGGAGACCCCCGCATTATATATAAAATGGCCATGTTGAATGAAGCTTGTCTGAACTTCACACCAGATGGCACAGTAAAAGTGCAAAGATTGATAGGTTGAAAATCACTTTGAGTTGAGCTTCCTCAAGTTCATTGCAGAATCCTCAGCAGTTGCTTGGAGACTGTTCTGATCAGTTGCTAATTGTAGTTTAGTCTGTTTAGAGTCTTTTAATCACTGAGAGAGAGATGCAGTCCTGCAGTTGCTACAATCTAGGAGTAAGTAGTATGCATCTCTGAATTTTTGTCTGTTGCATTTGATGCATGAACATCAGCTGCCACATCAATGGTGTTCTGTATTGATTCATATGTTTTGATTCTGACACTTTGAATTTTACTGGACGGTGCAGCTCAAGGACATGGTGCTGAAGCTGTCGGGCACGCAGAGGCAGGGGGTGCCGAAGCGGGGCGGCTCGCCGCCGCCGAGGGGCCGGACCACGTCCCTGTACCGCAGCGGCTACTACCGCCCGGGCGTGGTGCAGGACGACATGGCGGTGCCGCCGGCCACGTACCTGGGCCACGGCGCCGGGGGTGGCGGCACGGCGGCGTCGAGCGCGAGCTCCACGCCGGCGTGGGAGCGGCCGCCCAACGGGGGCGGGGGCCAGGGCGGCGAGGCGGCGGTGCGGGAGTGGGTGGCGCAGGTGGAGCCCGGGGTGCAGATCACGTTCGTGTCGCTGGCGGGCGGCGCCGGCAACGACCTGAAGCGCATCCGGTTCAGCCGGGAGATGTACGACAAGTGGCAGGCGCAGCGGTGGTGGGGCGACAACAACGAGCGCATCATGGAGCTCTACAACGTCCGCCGCTTCACCCGCCACGTGCTCCCCGACCCGCCCCGCGGCGACGACGACGCCGAGGTCAGTGTCACCGTCGCTCACCCGCTCCCTCTCCGTCTGTACGCCATTGTCGTGCATCGTTGCTTAAGGCTGAAGGGGCTCTTTGTTTGCGGCAGAGGGAGTCGTTCTACTCGCAGTCGCAGGTGGGCTCGACGATGGGCAGCCCCGCGGCGACGCCCTCGCCGGCGCCGGAGAGCATCGCCTGGGGCGCGGCCTTCGCCCGCCCGCAGCCCTCCGCCGCGGCCGGCGCCGGCCCAGGCGGGCCCGGCGGCGCGGCGCGGCAGCACAGCTTCCGCGGTCCGCTGTCCCCGCCGCCGCCGTCGTCGTCCAACCCGTCGGAGCGCGCCTGGCAGCAGCAGCAGCAACACCAGCAGCGCCAGAACGGTGGCCCGGAGCCTGACGCCGTGGAGCCGGCGCGGACGACCACCTCGTCCATGCCGGACGACGTGTCCATGAGCAACGCCAGCGAGCTGGAGGTGACGGAGTGGGTGATCCAGGACGAGCCCGGCGTGTACATCACCGTCCGCGAGCTCGCCGACGGCGCCCGCGAGCTCCGCCGCGTCCGCTTCAGGTCCAAATCTCCTCATCAACTCTGAATCCAGCACTGACAATTCTTTGGTGTTGTTGAGTCTTATTATCATCTTGTTGCATTGCATGCAGCCGTGAGAAGTTTGCGGAGCTGAACGCCAAGCTGTGGTGGGAGGAGAACAAGGAGAGGATACACGCGCAGTACCTCTGAATCTCCATTGCTAAAACGTGGACACTTTCACTCTGAAGCTTCAAGCTTTGTGAAGCAATGGGAGGGGGAAAGGTTAATAGTATCTGATACTACTGTCTACTGCTGCTGCTTAATTACAAGTAAATATAGGGTTTAATTTGTGTTTGGGGTTGGAGCTGGGAAAGAGAGAGAGAGAGAGAGAGAGATAGGAGGGGGGAGGGGAAAGAGAAATGTTTATTTAGTTTATTTAGGGTTTAATTAGGGCAGTGCCATGATGCCCAGCCCATGTGACCTGTGATGGACTGTCACTGCATGGATGCAGGTGTACCATGTTCATGTTGAGTATGCTTAATCCTCATTTTCTATGCATGCACACCATCTTACTATTTCACTACCTTCATTTATCTGTCAGTTTGTTTATTTATGCAGTTATAATGGTCATACAACAGACATGGCAATAACTATCCTAGCACTGCAATGTGGCTCAAAAATCACCAATGCACACTACACAGATGAGCAATAACCTTATAGGTTAATGACAACACTGGTACAATTCTGTGCATGGAAGAAATGTGCTACACACAGGCATACAGCATGATGAATCCACCATAAATCATAAGCACACACCACATGTACAACTGCTACCCAAACGAACTACGGCAAGGGACATAAACACCACGAGCCCGCAAACCCGATGCACCCTTGTCACGCGGTGTTCTTGACGGTAGTAATCTTGATAAAATGTGAAGAGAAGTGATCTAAAACATGACCGGATTCCGTGTCAAACCTTGATACTGAGAGGAGACAGAGATGAGACTTGTAGAGGGTTGGATCAAAATGTGATCTGAGCTTTGACATGGTCTTAGATCACCCCTCTTCGCATTTGCCAGGGGTTGCAAGAATACCAACTAAGAACACAAGGAGCCATAGGCAGATCGGCTTCACATGCTGAATTTGCATTCGGTAACTTACCTGACGACGGCGCCTCAATGTAGCGCCCACATCGACGAATGCAAGTCAGATCAATAGCAGCCGCGCTCATCGAACAGCAGACGCGTAGGGGGACAGAATGTACTCTCTTATCCGGGACGCCCCGTCCCTCGCCAGCATGCCCTCGAGGTCTCCGAGGATTCTAGCCAGCCAAATCTCCAGGCTGCGCTGGATTTCCTTGAAATTGTTCCTGACTGCACTTAGCGCTCTTCTTGTGCTCACTTTGGCTTCTGCTGGCAGCTCATCGCCGAAGCTGCTTTTCGCGGTCTCTGCTTGCACTGTGCCGAGCTTCTGCCTTGTTTCAGCTGCTCGGTGCTGAAGGTGGAATGCTTCCAGCAAGTACTCTGTTTGCCGCTGTGTTCTGAACTCCGAGTTGAGTGTCGAATCACAAGGGTCATTCGCTTGCTGCACAACAAATAGATATAGGTTAGGTTCTTTTTACTGCGGTGGGTTAAAAGCTATGACCTCTATCTATAATAGTTATAGGAAGCAGAAGATGCGACTGACTTCAAAAATCAGAGTATTCTCTATTCTGCATCATCAAGAGTCATGCTATAGAACCAGGAAAAAATTGCTACTAGCCAAAAATATTGCTCTTACTACTACTATGAACCAGGAAAAATTATCAATGCAGCAATAGCCAGACCATATGTTGTATTATGTGTTTATACAACAGGTATGCAGTAATACCAAGCTAGGCCATATAGACTGCATGTGCTACGCGAGAGCAGTAAGCATATGCCATGTCAGATGATCAAAGGTAAAACCTACCATTCGTTTGCAAAGATCCTCAATCTTCCCAGCAAGAGTTTGGTATCTCTTTACTTGCTTCCTCAGCACCAACGGGATCTTGGATAGATCTCCATTTCCAACCTTCTCCAGATTAATTAACTCCTGCTCAAGCTGCCGAAGCTTTGCAGGAACTCCTGACGATTCCACATCCACCTTCCAAGGTGATTCCCTCCTGGTGAAAAAAGATGATTTATAAACAACAAAGACGCTGCTTTACAAAACGACGTGCCTCAGTTAAGTACTTACCGTGGTACGGCATGCTTTGTGTTGTACACTGATTCAACCGATTCGTACTTCATGTCCTGCAAGACGCCAGTTAAAATGAGTGATTAAATGGGCAAAATAGGTCACAGTCCAACAATGCTCTATTAGCCTAACTGAGCCACAGCTTTCTCCAAACCTTAATGTTAGGTGTCATCAATGGCACGAGCTGATACACATAATTACAAGAAAATATAAAAATAGTATGTGCCTTTCGTTTTATGTACCACTGTTTATGCAAAGACATATTTTGTTCAATACGAGCAAGCGAGAAAAAAAATTATATGTAGAATGGTTGAGACAATAAACCTCGCAAAGGAGTTTAGTTATTGAGTGTACTTTAGCTGAGTCTGAACCAGGAAAACAAGTAGCTTGCCAGCCATAGCCCTATCTAAAATGAAGGATGAAATTTCTGAGAACTAGGTACTCATTGGCCGATGCTGTTTCAGTTCAAGTGACTATCTACAAGATAGTCACTTGAACCAGCTAGTGAATCATCCTCAACTGAGTTGGTTAACTATATCCAAGAGTTGCTGATTTTATTCACTATTTTGCTTTCTGGGCACTGCATACTTGAGAACAGAGGTAAATGTCTTAACATTAATTTGGGACAAGTGGAACAAAGCATAGGGAGGGAGAGGTCGACAAAGGGTTTGCAGTTTACACAAAGGAAAGAACGGAATATGACAGCACAGAACAAACACCATAGGATCTTACAGGCTGTAGGACCTAAATAAGGCTTTATGTATGGATCATACAAAATGAACCTAGCGAAATTTGTAACTTGAAAGTCCAAAAATAACTCTATATCCCTATCAATACAAACTTGTGGAATACATATAAGGGAGCAGAGATCCAAATTCGTCCTTGGCAAAGAAACACAAGATTACCATTATTCTGTTATTGCAGGCATCTGTAATGTTTTGACATACATGAGAGCAATAGCAAGCAGGGAGTGCATACGTGCACATCTCTGTTGCCATACTAGATTATATAGGAACATTGAGGAATCTGCACTTTACAGAAGTACAGAACCAGGCATGAACTTTTTTCTTCAGTAAATGCATATGAAGCCATAAAAGGCATGAACTGAGTAGTGAGAAAAAAACAGGCATGAACTGCTGTGTGTGGTTTATCTATATTTCAACAAGGCACTAAAACTTGTACTGAAACAGGCTGAAGGAATACATGACATGACATTATGCTGAGAAAAGGGCAGAGCTAAAAAATACAGGTTTTCTTCCTGTGCAGTACTCAACTACTCATCTTACAATACAGGGCACTGTTACCATGAGCAAACTCCAGGATGCCTGTAAGGCTGTGACAACTATATAGGTCTAGAAATGGGCCAGATGAGATTCTTTCAGGTAGCTTTGTTGGATGCAGATGCCGGGATCCTAATTGATCCAAGGGTCTGCTGTTATGGATACGACAGGCATGGCACATTGCTCCTGGAGATTCATGGGTATCAAGCTCTCCTGGAAACATGTGTATGCAGACCTACCACAGGATAGTGCATCAACCAAACAAAACTGATAAGTTGAGATATCATGGAGCATCTGCGATTGGTTGAGTTGTTTCTACAAACGTTGTTGCTATCCTCCTATACAAAGCAAAGTCAAGTTAGAGTGTGAGTGTCCACTCACAGCTCCTATTCTTTGGATACCTCGAGATACCACTAGTATGTGCCCACTTGATCCCCCCATGTGACCACATATTCTTTTACCTTTGGTTCTCCAAGCATCACTAATTCTTGTAGATCACGCTTTGAGCAACGGCATCGCAACTCGTTTGGACAAATTTTCACAATATGGTTGATAGCCTCAATGGAAGCTTTGCAGGCCATGTAATATAGAAAGAGCAACTGAAGCACCGAACGGCAGAGTGGGTTCAAAACAACAGTTTTCTTCCAATTATTTCAAAACGAAGAGTAAATTGCAATGACAGCTATCACTGCTGAACATTATGTGAAGCAACCTCCTGGACACAACAAATCAGTTGAAATAGAAATGATGCGCACACATCCAGTGAGCACCCAATGAAACAACAGAATCAAATAAGAAACTGGGTATGGGCATGAACTTTTTTCTTCAAGAAATGCATATGGAGTCATAAAAGGCATGAACTGAATAGTAGTGAGGAAAAAAAGGCATGAACAGCTGTGTGGCATTGGTTTATCTATATTTCAACAAGGCACCAAAACTTGCATGTAAGAAATAGGCTGAAGGAATACATGACATGGCATTGTGCTGAGGGAAGGACAGAGCTAAAAACTAAATGGGTGTTCTTCCTGTACAGAAACTAAGGTCAGCAGCCGTATGATGATCTTGGTGCAGTACTCAACTACTGTTACCATGAGCCAGATGAGAGTCTGTGTTGGATGCAGATGCAAGGGTGCCCCCACCCCGCAGAAACAGTGCCCAAGATGGATCCTAATTGATCCAAGGGGCTGCTGTCAAAGTGGTCATTTGTCTGTTGTATTGTGGATACGACATGCATGGCACTTTGCTCATGGTCATGGAGATTCAGGGGTATCCCTATCACTATCACTATCACTATCACTCCTGGAAAAATGTGTATGCATATGCAGACCTACCAGTGCAGTGCAGGATAGTGTGTTTAGCATTGAGCATCAACCTTGTTACAGAAGTGATAGGAGCACGGGCAAAATCTGCGATTAGTGCAGGTGTTTCCACAACTACAAATTTCTACCAGGATAATGTAGGAGTGGTCTTCAGAATGATTCTATGATGTTTAAAAGCAGCACCGGATTCGATGGAGTATCCATCGGTTTACATTACTAATATGTTTATTTACGTTCTTCAGAGTTAAATCAACTGAAGAAGACACGCACTTCCATGGTGGAATCATGGCAGAAGAGAGGTCCATGGGCGAAAAGGGGGAACTTTTTGTCGGTTTACCTGCCACCCTTTCGAGCGCGAGTCCATCCAGGGCGGCATTCCCGACGCCGCCGCCGC